CCCCCCTCTGCCCGCACACCCGCAACATCCCCTACACCCCCCGCAAACCTCCCGCCACACTCTCACGCCGCGTCCTTTCTCTCCCCCCTCCGTCGACGCAGCGCGACCCCCCCGCGCTCGCCACCCGGCGCGTACGCCCGGCGCCGTGCCCCACATGTCCTTCCTGCGGTGCTGCATCGGAGGTGATTCGCGCCCGCCTCCCGAGCAGATACGCCCGGTCGGCGCGTCGGCCCCGCCGTCGCGCCGGGGGCACGCGCGCCCGCCGCCCATACCGCAGCCCGGCCACACGCCCGCGCAGGATGTCTCCAGCAAGCTCAAGCTGCCCAACGAGGTCTTCTTCGACCCTACAAAGCCAGATGGCCAGCTCAGTTCCGTCACGGACCCCCCCAACTCGGCGCGCGACTTCTCGGAAATGAACAAGAAGAAGGACCCCAAGGAACGCTCGCGCCCAGGTACGTTTTTTGTCGCGTCTCTTTACGTCTCACACGCTGTCCGCCTTTTTTTTCTTGCCGTGCACGAACAGAGGACACTAATGTTCTCTCCCTCTCCTTCCATCCTCCTTTTACAAACCTCGCAACCCAGGCCGACAACATCGCGAAACTCGCAAGGACGCCGCCGCGGACGACAAAGCCGATCTCAACGCCCCTGACAACAATGGTCTCACGCGAGGTCAAAACTTCATGAAGGTAGAAAAATGGCTCCGCAACGCTTCCATGTATCAACAAATAGACATCACCCCAGGACCCATCACGAATATCGAGGACACCCCACCACAAATCTCCGACGCAGCAGATCCCCCATCGGAAAAGGATCGCCTTCCACCCCAATCCAAGTCCAAGGAACACCAACCCCACAAAACAGCTATTCGATAACTACACAAACTTGTTTTATACCCCGTTGTTACAACCTTTTTCTCTCCGCTCTGCTCCCGGTTTTCCGCCTCCAGTCCTCCCTATCCCCGCTCGTCCTTGCTCGCTTTCGATTGTATGTCAATCTCACGAGCGGGTAAAAATAGGCCCATCCTTCCGCGTCCACGCACCCGCCCCGCCACACGCTCTCGCGTACCGGCCTGCTCCGCTTTTCTTTTCTTCTCAGTAACAATGCAACGTGCCGCATGCAGCGGTGATACTAACCAAGGTCATTTTCGCCTCCCCTTTATCGACCGACTCTGCAAAATGTTAAAAAAAGAGGCACGTTTTGCTTCGCTCCACCTTCCCTCCGTGCCACATCTCAACGCTTGGTCTTTCGGTTTCGTTGTACGTAGAAATAGCCTCATCGCTCTCTATCTCCGAACAGTGTGTATTGTCATAACCAGCCTCTAGCTGCTCTTCTTCCGCCGTCACTCTACGGCGATGTATGCTTGTTGCCAGGTCGCTGCCGTTCCCTTGACGCCCAACCAAAATTGTAGCTCCTTGTGGTGCCATTACCCGTTGAGGCGTTTTTCACGTTCGAGCACCTCTGGCTCGAACTTGATGTAATAGATCGTCAGCGGTTGCCCCTGTTGCTGAGAAAGGTCCTCATCTCCGTTTCTAGCCAGGACCTTGGCCGTAACCTCGGCCGGAAACCCTGCTGAGTCCAAAACGCCGTTAATAATCCCAGCCGAAAACGAGGCACAATTGAAGTGTCCATAGTCGGCTGGAACCGAAATATACTTGTTCACTAACGGTTCAGCTTCTTCGATGTAATCTGGAAACATAGTTGTAAGCGTAGGAGTGTCGATGATGAGTTTGGGGATTATAACTGACTCTCCGGTAATTCATAGACCCGCGCTGATGAGTTGCAACTTACATTCCAGTTCAGAGTCTCGGACTTTTTTCAAGCAATCCGCCTGCTTTCCGTACAAGAAGTTCCAAAGCGTCGAGGCAATGAAATTGAGCATGTTTAGTAGACGGGTTTCCCGTCGCGAGACCTTCTCCCTCGCCAGGATAAGTTCCAGGGCCCTGCGGCCGATTCGATAGCCCAGTTGGGCGAGCTTCTCCTGAAGAGCCATCACAGACTCGACGCGATCCCGGCAGTATGACACCAATTCGGAAAATAGGACGAGATATGCATCCATATTGACTTCACCACGCGCTTGATTCAGGCTCATTTCCAGAATGTTTTTCGTGATTCCATGCGGCGATGAACTGCCAGGGACTGAGTCGTGCATCAGACTCTTCCGGCTGCGTGACTGCATCTTCGCTGATCCGTTTTGTTTGAATGCGACAGATGTTGCGCCGGCACATGAGGTGGACACAATGCTTGGTGCTGGACCAGTTCTCGATGGCCGGAGGGCGACCGGTGTTCGTGTCTAGCTAGCTAGGAGACCCCGGCGCTATGGTCAAGCAGAGTCGGGCGTCACATTAAAACTATGTGAGACACGAATGCATCGCACATGTGACTTCTTGATTATGTGAAATTATGTGTTTATCATATCGCGTAAACCCTTTTTTTAGCGTAAGAGTCTTTTTTTGTTACGATTATTCTACATACAGGGGGGGTCGCGATATAGTGCCATATTTGTTAGTGCCAGATCTGATATAGTGCCACCCTTCTGCGGGTGGCACGAATTTTAAGCCAAAAACGAAGGGTCTCCAGAGTGGCAGTTGGATGGACGTGTACTGCCCGAGAGCCACTGGCGCCACGGAAAGATATTATGCAGTTGCTAACTCGAATAGAGACTATAGCGGAAAAAGGCAGGGTCGATGATGCAGTTCGACATTTGCAAAAGTGTAGGCTGGCATTTATGGCTGCGAAAAAGGAGGAAGTCAATGCAACGGCTCGGCAGCTACTAATAACAGAAATGCTTGAGTCCGTAGTGAAGATGCAAAGTATGAGTGATGGCGTCCTGCGAGCGGTCTTTCTGAGCAGTGATGCAAGGAAGTGGTTGCAAAAGAGCCGTAAATCTTATTATCTGACAGTGCCTGGTCCGATATAGTGCCGTTTCGGCCCACTGACACAGGGTAGCACTATAGCGCGACCCCCCCCCCCCCCCCCCCCCCTGTACTGTACTATTCTCCTTTTTTTCTGTCTCTGTTTGTTGGGGACGTACGCTACCAAGGGTACAGTATTTTCCTCAGGACTCTGTGCTCGTATGGCAGCTCAACAGACTGCAGTACAGATGTAGTGCCATGCCTCCCGCCTCCGTCAGCAGGCACCCTTTGCAGTGTCGAAAGCCAAAGCTTTGGTTGTTTACTGACTACCAAGTCTCTGTGGCGACCCAACGCGACTGGCAAAAGCGAAACGTCACTGTTACTGCTGTTTAACCAAGTGATCGCCCTTCTTTTACCGACTACGACCAATTCCCCCGGCTTTGTGCACCCTCTTTCCAACGGCATCTCACACAGGACAAGCTAATTGAATAATTTCCGGTTGCCTGCACGCAAGCACATGTCCTCGGAAATTCCAGCGGATGACAAGGAGACTGCCGTCCGGTTGCGTCGTCGCACCAAATCAACGAAAAAGCGAGCAAAAAGAGTGCTCGATGATGAGGTGGACACGCCCAAAAATCTCAGCAACAGTGAAAAAGAGATGACAGCGGCTGAGCTTTTGCTCATGCGGAAAGCTCAACAGATGCGCGAGGAGAGCCGCAAAATCGCTTTGGACATCACAGGTGGTGAAAAGCGTCATCGCGATGGGGAGAAAACAGAAAAGGCAAACCCTTCGTCTGTCGACAATGTTATTAGTGATCTGAAGGACGACTTTGCCGTCGAACGCTCCGGACATGACATGGAAGAGAGAATGGAGAAGTTTATCAACGACGGGATGAAGAAGAAGTTTGGCGACAAGGACGACCATACAATTACATCTGCGCGTGATGGAAACACTGCCGATGAATTCGACTTATTTGCAGTTCCAGAAAGATTAAAAGTCGAACAACGCCCGCAGTATGATCCCGGAGATGGCCTACCTGCGGCAGGCGTTGAAGAGGTGGAACTCCCGGAAGATGTTCGTCAGAGGAATATTGAAGAAACCGTGCGCGCGCATAGGAAGCTCCTCGAGAAAAGGGACGAGCGTTTGAGCACCCCTATACTAGCAAGTATACCGGGCAATGTCAGTGCCAACTACTCCAAACACAGAAGCGACTGGATTGCGGAGCATGTAGGGCCAAAAGGCCACGACAGCGGGAACGAGCCAGTACAGAATATTTCCAATGTCAGTGGGGATGGCAAGGGTAAAGTGAGAGACGATACAGTCAAGAGGCCGCGATATCAAGCAGCAACTGACTACTTAGTTGCAGATCGATTCAAGAAGCGTTGGCGTCGATAGTCAATACTCTGTATTTACTGTACAAACAGTTATTCCACAAGCTTACATTGCTTGTCATTGAAACAGTTTGGTCCTACATGATGGCGGCGATTGCATCGGAGTCTGTGGTGATGAAATGATGCAGCGAAGCAAAATACTGTTCGGACATCTTCATGTGCAACTATCGACCACACCGAGATGTGCAGAGTGTTTGTACTGGGATGCAGCTCTTAGACTTGCTTTGGCGGTTTTGCCTCTTTGTTCGCATTGGGAAATCTCACAGCATGCCCTTTCGCAGTAACTCTACAATGGTCCCATATGAAGATTGGAGCGAGGGCTCTAAGGAACGGCATAGACAGTACTTCTCCAATACCAACGCCAGGATTTAACCCTGCGGATACGATTCCCAGTAATCTGCCATTAAACCCGGCACTTACCCGGTACTGTTTCCGCATCATGCCGTCCGCAATGCCCCGAGCCACTTTCTCTGCAGTCAAGACGCCGCTCGAATTTGAGATTTCATGAGTCTCTGGGGGCATAGTGTCTTTCTCAGACTGATATCCGGGAGTGTCTGTATCCGGTGGATATGCAACAGTAACGCCAATGCCAAATGGTTTCCCTTCATACCAGACAGCCTCAGCCAAACCGCGCACAGCAAACTTACTCGGACTGTACGCAGAATGCCCGATGATACCGATCTGGCCAGCCATAGAGCTGATGAGTACAATCTGACCGGCGCGACGGTGAGTCATGCGCTTGAACACGGCGTGGGTCGGATAAAGCTGGGCAAAATAGTTTGCCTTCATCATAAATTCAAAGGTTTCCGGTGACAGGTCCTCAAAGTAGCCGCCAACAGCAGTACCTGCAGAGTTGACGAGGATATCAATGGGTCCGAATTGGCTTTCGACGTCGTCGACCATTTTATCGACAGCCTTCGCATCCGAGCAGTCGGCCGAGGCAATATTGACTCGCGCAGCAGTAGCAAGGGACTCATCCGGGGGCGCGAGCTCCTTGGCGGCGTTTTGAAGGCGTGTCATATTCCGGGCGACGAGGGTGACCGAGGCGCCGGCGCCGACCAGTATACCAGCGAGCTCTTTGCCTATGCCGGAGCTTCCGCCAGTAATGACGACATGCTTTCCAGCGAAGTAAGCTTCCCGCCTCGACGGGCGCGAAGAGAGAAGACCCATGTAGGAAACGAGAGCGAAAGAGAGGATGAGGATAGCACCACCGAGGAAGACTGAGGTAGCAAGAATGTCAAGGCTCGCGATATTTTGCAGGAGCATCGCACAGCGTGTGGGTCATGGAATGGCACTTATATAGATGCAGTGGTACACCTCAGAAGTATCTGTAGACGAAGCTGGAGGTTTGGGAATAGATTGACTCCGCAGCAAGTGTGTTGTTCTTCTCTCTGCAGAAATTTCTAGGGACAAGCGAAGATGTGCGAAGGGAAATGGGAGCTGACAGAGGCACAGGGTGTACACTGGAAGAAAGAGGGAGATGATGATGGAGGGGAGAAAGAGACAATTGCGCCGGGCGAAAGTAGGGGGGACGGGCATGAGAGACCCCGTCCCAACGGAGTGTGTGGAGTGCGTATGGGTGGGACGACAGCATCTTAAACGCGATTGGACGACAATTGTATACTGTACGTGTGCAATCCGAATCTTGGCGGGCCAACAGCAAGCTCGAGTTATGATCCCTGAAACGCGCATCCGACGTCAAGGAGAGAGATTGATTTCGCCCCTTTTTTGATCCCCCCCGCAAGCCTTCTTCCTCGTGGCTTTTCTCTCCGAGCATGACATAAGTTTCCCCCTTGTCACGTTCGAAACTCGCTCTTTTCCTGCCACTGACAACTCCCTCGGCTTCACGCCCGCCCGAACCATCTAATGGACCACTCCAACGCCCTGGACCCAAAGGACGAGCCATTGCTGCCGGGAGAGCATGAAGCCCCCGGTGTCACCCCGTCGCGCCCAACAAGGCCTGTCCGATCAGGCGATGAAGATGCGGCCAAGCTTGAGTTCGGCGCTGAATTTGACGAGCAGAAAGGCCAGCCGTTGTTCACGGCTGAGGTCCTTCAATTGCTCAAGCTTCACAAAGAAAAGAATCAACATGTCCAAGTCAACAACAGGCTTCTTGAGCCGTCTCTGGAACACTGCGAACGCTTTGGCCAGATCGAAACTACAGACGCCGCCATCATGGTCCGCGAACAGCTCCAAAAGGTCGAGCCTAGACTACACCCATTTGAAGTCGCCCAGCTCGCCAGTCTAATGCCGAAAGATGCAGAGGAAGCAAAGGCTATCATTCCGAGTCTAGCCGCGAACTATGATGATGACGTGCTAAACGAGATTCTCAAGAACATGGACGCCTGGTTGTGATCGCACGCCCTTTCTGTATCCTCAATGCACCTGGTGTGAATGTTTCTTTAGTGAACGGCATGGCCTTCTTTAAACAGAATGTATATTGCATTTTAAGGTCTGTCCGCAATACAGCAGAATTGCATCTCACACTGACATCCTGCAGACATGGCCGAAGTATTCCTCACTCCCATCAAGTTCTTAGCGACCTTTGTCCTTTTTTGTATACTAGCCTGGGCAAGCTTTTGGAATTGACTTTGACCTTTGCTTTCGGCAATCTGTCGTATAATATCGGCCTCAAAGTGACACCGCAAGCACGACCGGCCAGACCTCCAGTTTTGTAAATATTGAAACTGCTCAACTCTCGCTCTATGATAGTCACGCAGGATCTGAGCTGCCTCACACAACTTGCGCATGTTTGCAGCAATCTATGCACTGCACCCTTGCGTCCCATCAAATTTGCACAATCTCATCTAAGACGGAATCTTGCATTGAAACACATATAGTATCCCACTCTTGTTGTCTGGCGTTCTGTGATTGAGAATCAATCCACGGTGCTGCTGCACTACTAGCAATGCGACACCGGGCACCGTTGGTACTATTACGGCGTTCAATGTCATCCTCTCCTGTATATATATATATCTCTCTCTCTTTTTTCGACCTATGGAGAATGATTGGTGCAATGCTTTACTACTGATGGCTTTCGCCTTTTTTGGCGACACAGTGTCTCCCAGCTAGGACGGCAGCAAATGAAGGGTTCCGAGGACAACGAATGCGCAAGCCTCCTTCATAACGAGCAGCATGGTGCGGAGTTTCGAGCGAGAGTTTCTAATTGAACGCTCTTTGGTCCCCTTCAACCCGCTGCACACACTTCCGTCATGTGATGGCGTCATGAGCTCCCGGAATGTATTTAAATCATTCATCGCCACGCTCCCGTCTCACACTTCGAAGAAAATCGGCTGCGCTTGGCGAATGTCGTAAATGGAGTCATAGGCATTTCGATAATGGAGAAAAAAGTATCACATGTCTCGGATTGTTGGCAACTTCTTCTAGTTCAATCTAGCGCTTCTTCAAAAAAAGAAACTTCAGGCACACAATCCTCTACGGTAGCGCCACCTCAAGAATTGATCATGAATTCATCCAGTCTGTTTACTTGTCTCGAGGGTGTAGCCATACAACGACAAGGTACAGAAGCCCAACCTCTTCATCCGCCGCTATCACGCCAGCTTTTCCGCTGTTTTCCCGGCAAACGCGTGTCCCTCTCCTGAACAATTGTGTCACAGACTTATCTCTGGTCTATTTATGTCCATACCAGGCTGATCTGAAAGACCCTGTTGTAGGCCGAAGCGCTGCCATCTAAGAATTGAATACATCCAAGATATTTATGAGCTGCAACCTGGGCAAGTCGCAGGGCATTGTATTGCAAGTCAGAAAATTGATAGAAGTTAAGCACTGTCGCCACAGCACGGCAGGTGACACGCCCGTGGCTATACAAAGCAAAGTCATAGCCAAGGAAAACGGACGTATATGCAAAACCTCTAGCCGCAATCTTTTGACTTCGACTACACGTCTGCATTTTCTACAGGGGGGAGGGATCCTCAATATCGCACCTTTTGATAGTGCCCTGCGGCAGATATTGCACCCCATTCCTCCATGTCACGACTACCTACACGTGCCCACCATTTAGGACATTTGGTCGACGACCACGAGATAAACCATCACGAGCCTTTCCCCAACAGAAACCATAACCGCAAAACATGATTTCCTTCCATCGACAGCGTTATAAAAAGTCACGAAAGAGACTATCTCTTTCTCGCAAGTAGTGAGGCGTTCTCTGTTCAGCCAGGCAGCCTCTATGAAATCAAGTGCTTTCAAAGAAGTAGAATTGAATTTGGTAAATGTAGGGAAAACAGTTGTTTGCGATGTCATCCGCAGAGTGAAAAGAGCTTTATCTGATGCGTTTCACACAAGAAACAAACAGGGTGAAAAAGCAGACGTCGATGGTGGAGCTCTTACAAAAATAGAAAAGTCTTTATTGTGCACTACCCTTGTACTGTACGTCAGAATCGCACTATTTGGCAAAATAACCGGGGGGTGCGATATTAAGAGGGGTCTGCGACACATGTATCTTGAAAACATAGTTTTGTAGTACTGTAGCCAACACCAGACTCCCGAACATCATCCGCTACATCCCAGTTTATTTCCGTCATGTTATATTGTGCGAAGGTTGCATTTCTTGCGTCTTGAATCCGAACGAGTGTCAATGCATAGCCGAAACAGAGGTTGTCGAACTCGGATGTATTTTTCCTCAAAATGTGTTAGTGGCTGATCGTGCAAGGCGGTAGAAGAATCTTCCGACTTCAAAAACGGACAAACAAGACCTGAGAGTAGTTGATCGTTTTCTGGTCCACGCAAGGAGGCCAAAACGTCTGTTGCATGAAGGGCACTAAACGCTGCCCGAAATTCTTGCAAATACGAGTCCCAACTTCCACGGACCTCCACTCGGCCACCTAGAGCCACGATCGCCGGGAAAATAGCATGTCCATGCCACCGCCACTGAGTGTCGTGATGCAAACAGAAGGTATGGAAGAACGCGAAAATGAGATTGAGAAAGAAGAAGGGTCGTAGTGATGGCAATCGAGTCAGAACACTTGAACACGTAGCGGATGAATTGCGTGAATACCAGATGCGAATTGCCGGGGTAGAATAAGCCTTCGGACTTTCATCATACCTTCAAATGTTTAGGCTTCGGGTATGGATTTGGATACAACAAAAAGTGATGCTCCAGGAAGACGCCATTCTGTAGACAAAGTGTCCAAAAGTCGACAAGGTCAGCTCGCAATAAAAGAGCGTTCGGTAAGGCATTTACGAGGCCACTATCTCTCCTGTACGCGACAGTTCTTTCCAGCCTAGAAGCACTTTTATCAATCCCTATAACATCGCAATGCGGAAGCAGCTTGGCGAGCTTCATCGTACTCCTGCCAAGCCCACACCCTGAATCGAGACAGAGAGGACGCAATCCAGGCGTCCTTCGCCTCCACTTTTGAGCGAATTCAAAGGCTTTCCGATTGTGGTCGGCGATGGGATGGCGCTGAAGGAACGTTTGGAAATTGCGCGAGGACGCAAGAGCTGAGAGTACGGTTCGGTGGATATCAGGCGGTTGGCGGATGGTGTAAAGATCGCGTAGCGTATCGTGTTTAGTGCATGACTGAGTGCAGAGGTTGCATCGAGCAGGCCGGGCGAGCCGTTCACGAGGGAATGCTAGTCGAGATCGCAAGGACCTGGTTGTTTGCATTCCGATGGAGTGCGAAGGTGGATGCGCAATACAAGGTATGGTAAAAGGCTTTGCAGATAACGGTAGGAAACCATTAGAGAGAGGCAACCACAACAGTGCCATACTCACCTGAAAGCACAGCTACGAAGGAGGACAAGCGACGAAGTTGCGCCGATGACCTTCTTTCTCCACGAGAGTCGAAACCCCCCGTCAGAGCAGCCGTACTGTACAATGGGGGGCGCGCGGTAATAAGTAATAAGGCCAGCCTCGGTCCAAAGCGCCCTACTTCAAAGTGTCACTGACGCCTCACGTGGACACGTGTCACTGCACTACCCCGGCCTCCGGCACGTACCCTTCCTGAAAGGGGCAATTTGGTAATCGGGGGCAATTTGGTAATTTTTAGTCTTCCCCTTCCAGATTCTCCAAAACGCTCCGTCCACATGCAAACACTACTCGTACAACTTAGTACGTCCTCCCTCGTTGCCCTGCGTTGCAGAAGTCCGCCAAAATTCAAACTCCCGCTACGCCACGGCGTCGCAACCCTCATCAACCTCTCTCCTGTAGCACCGACATCATGACTTCAGCTCCAGAATTGCGTGAGTCATGGGACTCTCCATGCGAATGCAGAGTGCGATTGAAAAAACAAGACAAGAACGCGACGCATTGACAAAAAAGCAGCGAGAGAAGGCCACCGCGCTCCTTCGTCTGGGTCGAGGTACGGTGCGGCAATGAGCCGTACACTCTCGAAGCATGCCTTCAGGAAGGATAAAGGGGGTGAAGATGAGGTTGTGCAATCTCTGTTGTCGCTTTCCGGTTCATAACTAAAATTACCGAATTGCCCCTTTTTCTCATTTGAGCCCTTTCTGCACGTGTGAAAATGTCAAATGGCTTCAAACAGGTTGTTTTCGCCCGCGTCCTTTCGTCGTCTATGGCACATGGACATCCCACTGGCTGTAGCAGACGCTTTTTGGCAGCCCAGGATAGTGCCATAAAACACTTGTTAGGCTCCGTCAAAATAATTACCAAATTGCCCCCTCGGGGAAGGGTACAGTGCAGTGACTGGAAAAAAAGGTACCTGTCGCAGAACACGTCTCTTCTGCCCGGCCGTGGAAACCAAATTCGCATCCTCCCTGATCCCGCAATGCAACCCCATGACCAAACCTCACCCAAAAAAAAAACAGGCTGCTGAGACTCTCTACCCCGAAGAGCAGTTTAGTTTGTTCACCAGCTCACTACAAGAGCAAGTCGATTTTTTTTTATGTTCACGGAGGTGCGGGTGGTAGCATTTGATAGCAATGCACTCCTGAAGGATGTCTTTTTCTTCAGAAAACCGAGAAAGTATCCTAGATACTAAGAGAAACTCTACTGTACTACGGTTAATAGCAGAACACAGTAGCGATTGATCTCTGAAATGCTGTACCAGAGCGTTGAAATAAGGTAAATGGAGCAAGGCCTCCCTCCATCCGAGACGCCTTTTTCGCATTTGGCAGGAGTGCGCCATACCCCGCATGCCTGCGCGTATTGTACATCTTTCTCACCGTCACAGGGTGGCGCTATCATGCCTTGCTGGCGACGTGTACTGTACAGTGAATCCCCCCTTCCAGCTGGAAGGTGGGCATTGAGCACATCTCGCTCAGCGAGAGCAAAAAATTTCAGAAAAGAAACAGCAGAACAGGCGCTGGGATTTTTGAAGCTCTCATGCAAGGCTTGTGGAAGTGTGTTTTACACTAGGCGGGACAGCTTACGAAGAGAAATTCGTCAACAAATTACTCGCCGTTACTGCACAGTCATTTCTCAGAAGCGTCCGTTGAAACAGTTTCATGGCCGCTCGCAGCGTGTCCTTGTGTTTCTTATGGTAGACAGAATTACCAAGTCGATCAAAATTGGAGATTCGCGTGGCACTGAAAACCTCGTTCATATTTGATCAAAAAAGGTTTTCCTAATCCCTAGCGCAGATCAAAAAGGTTTCGGCGGGCATATTACTACGGTGTGGTTTCTCAGAAGGGCGGCAAGAAAATAGACCCGACTGCTGTGTTACGTGCTTCCTTTTCTCGCAGCATCAAGAGAGAAGGGATTGCATCCCCACTCTTAGGCTCTCGCGGCAAAATCTAATGACGCTGCGAGAAAACGAAGATACTACTGTACCTTAAGACCAGCCGCCCCTCTGCCTAAGCGTAGCAATCATAAAAGAATCCGAGATACCCCCCGTTGCCAATAGAAGGAAGAGAAATGCTTTCGACGCTCTTTCTCCATCTACAGGCTCACCGCTTGTTAAAACCAGTATGAAAAGATGCAGGCCTGGCCATTGGGCTTGCAAGAGAGAGCGGGCACATCACTTAGTGTACTGGAGGCGGATGACGCTGAGAGTAGATACAATAAGCAAGGGTACAGTACATGTGGTCGTCGGTAAAGGTGCACAGTACAAGTGTACAGATATTTTACTTGGCTTCGAAATGGAAGTGAATTCATTTATTTTCATTCAATTTGATGGTCGCAAATGTTGCCACAGATTCTCGCAGAATATCGAGAATTTACACGTGTGTCCGGGATGTTGCCCGTCGGCGACATGACATGGCAGGCGAGCGAGGATGGCAGCTCTTATCATGTTATATGCTTTATTCAATGACTATTGTTGCGAATGCTATCTCATAACGACGGATATCTGGGAACATATCTAGGGCCAAATCAAATGAAATGGATGGCCTAGGATGGCAGCAGCAACGCTGAACTAAATGGAATACTGTCCGGTAGTTGGACGCTGTTGGATGCCAAGAAGCAATTGTGGCAGCGCTACAGGTGGTTGTCTTTCTTGCATGGTCAGTGATTACTGCGAGCGTGCGCGTAGAAGGGACTTCGAGAGTGTCGAATAGAAGCGGGACATAGTGCCAGCCTGGTTCTGGGATGGGCTAGTCAGATGGGCTGGTCAGATGGGCTAGTCAGATGGGCGACTCAGATAGGCGACTCAGATGGGAGAGTCAGATGGGAGAGTCAGATGGGAGAGTCAGATGGGATACGCGGGAACGGTGCGGTTGCGGACGCCCAAGTTGTCTAGGTCCGGGCATTAGCGGCTCCAGCTGGCAGAAGGCGGCGCAGTTGACAATGCCACAGTGGTATGGACTGCGAGCCGTGATATCATTCGCCGTGGCTTCTGTCTGGTAGCATACCGGGGGGAGGGCTTGGAGGATGGACGAGAAGGTGGACGTTAGCGAGTGAGGACGCTGTGGGCTGGCAAACTCATGCCTGCTGGAACAGGACTAGGAGCTGCGACCAATCCCCAAGTACGAAGGAACCGGCGCAGCAGGGACCGAGGGGCATTCGGTAGTAGTGTAGAAAACAACGTTTTCTACATTACTTCTGTGCTATGCGCTGTACACCAGGGCATGTTGAGATCTTTTGAATGGATGGCGTCGTCCTTTTCTGCCTTGCAAAGCTCAAGTGCAAACGCACTCCAGTTATGATACCGCCTTAGTCCCAGAATGCCATCGCACCATCAAAAGCAACTAAAATTCACTTTAATCCCCGACACATCCAACCCAATTACATCGTATCGGTTGGCACCTCTCGATTTTCTTGTGTTTTTTCTTGAATTCGCAGTACCGAATGCTCTTCTTCCGGCCATCCGGCACCGGAACCGCACTCCCTCGACCCTGCCACCTACCAGCAAACCAACTCCTTCATAAACCCGCACCCCCGCCCCTCCTTCCCACATGTTCCAGCTACGCCTCAACCGCATCCGTCGCCGCTGGTCAATCTCCCCCGAAATGAACACCGCCACCGTCATGCCAACCTCCACCTCGCCGCTAAACTCAACGCCGCTCCACCGCTCCATTTCCTCCCCAACAACCTCTGCGCCGCCATCGCGCCGCCTGCGGCGCCGACGAACGCACACGTCCTACATCCCTCGCATCTCCTCCTCCTCTGCAATCGTTCCCAGCCCGCAGTTTGTCTCCCCGCTGCACGCCCACTTCCCCGTCCGCTACAGCTCGTGCGACTGGCAGGCCGTGTACTCCACCATGCGCGACGGCGTCAGTCTGCAGACCTTCTTCGCAAAGTGCGCCGGCCCGGACCCTATCGTCCTGCTCGTCCGGGACAGCCGCAAGGCCGTCTTTGGCTGCTACACAACCACCCCGTGGAAGTCGTCCAAGCAATACTATGGCAACGGCGAGGGCTTTGTGTTCACGCTCTCCCCATCCGTCAAGGTGCACAAGTGGTCCAGGGCCAACTCTTTCTTCCAGCTGAGCTCCTCGAAGTCTCTGGCCATTGGCGGCGGCGGCAAGTTCGCCCTCTTCTTGGATTCCATGTTCGAGAGAGGAAGCTCGGGTCCCTGCGCTACCTTTAAGAGCCCCTGTTTGGCATCGGCGGATGAGTTTGATATCGTTGTCGTTGAAGCGTACAAGCTCGTCCCGCCGTTTAGGTTCTCACAGGGGAAGCACCATTGAGTTACAAAAGCATGGACTCTGCTACCGGCTCCGTTCGCCATCTTTCCTTCGTAGGGATGGTTGTAGCCGTTCATCTACGTACAAATGTCGCTCCCATACCCAGCGAAGGATTCAACTTCACGAGAGCGGGTGCATTCAGGAAGCCCAGTGGAAATGGCAGACACGTTTCGTTGTCTTGACTGTGTGTCATGCTAATGCACCGGTCGCCACTGCCCGTATCAAGTGACGCTTCTCTGCTGATCAACACCGAAACAACTTGCTCAGAAGAGAACTGATATCGTTTCGAACACTGTTCTCTAATTGCAAGGGGTTACTACCCTTGAAAATCATGGAATTGCATGCTTGTTACAAGAAAGTTTACACGACTGTATGTGCACGTGACTAGTTACTTCCAAAGTGGGGGGACAGCCATGAGTGCCTTCTTTTGATGCCGAAATATGCTGCCCTTCAAAATTGATTTAGATGTGAGCTTTTCATGGCCAGGATGTTGCGGTGACCACACACTTAACACCGCCTACCTGCCAGTGAAATAGGAAACACACTATTTGGAGGGTTGCCTAGCGCAAAACTTATTTCTTCTCGCATAGAATAGGAGGTCACCTATCTTAACGGCGGCCCCTACAGTACAGTACATAGTTCTCAACATGTCCCTCTACAGCATTGTGTATACGTTTGTCTAAAAATTCTCTCATCAATGCCGGCGCAGCGGAACTAAACTTGTCTGAATGCATACGCGATGCTCTGTGTTCAAATAGACGCTTTAGATAGGATAAGTGGCCAATACATGCCGTAGCGTCCAATTACAATGCTGCTTCGGTATAGGAATGTTGGTGAAGTGAGGGAACTGCTCCAGGACGCACAGAAGAGCACATGCTTCTCCATCTCCCGCCGCATAAGAACCCTCTCGTCTTCTTTATATTCAGCCCTATAACCCTAAGGTCCATACGCTCTCTACGTCATCCATACTACGGATTCCATAGATGTTTCTAACATCTTACAGTATCCGCTTCCACCTGGTAAACAATGCCGCTAGCCTCGGAGCAGCTACCAACCAACGCATGTGTAATGGCATCCGGTACGTTGCACTCAAATTTCATTGCTGTCGACTAATCAAAAAGTACCGACGGTGTGCCCCTTACCTTGAACGATTCTCGAGTTTTACAGCATAATTTCGGAAAAATGCTCCATTCGCACCAAAAAGACATCCAGATCCCTTTCATATAGACGCCCGTGGCACTGTACGGTACCAAGGGTACAGCACTGCATGTCGATGAGCTTTTATTGGCATGCCTGCTTCTGCAGCAGAAGCCACTCCCGAGAAAGCATCTAACACACATGTTAATACTGTAGTGGTACAGAATTGGCGGGAACCATCGTCACCTTTCTGTTGCAATGGTAACAGAATGGTCGCGCTGACGTCCTCTTCCCATCGTTTGGCGGGTGATTGCTAGAGACGCTAATAATCCTATGCAGTTGCTCACTTTATCCTTAGCATAAGGGCTCTTGTTTTAGTCATGACCAACCCACCTAGCTATCTGCGAGTTCTATTGTGAAATTTTAGTCATATCTTATCCGTTACAGAAATCCTTATGCGTAAACCCTAAAATGATTGGGGGGAAGTCACAACAGAATCCCTCCCTTTTTGGGCAAAAACTCATACAGGGGGGGAGGTCGCGATATAGTGCTACCCTGTGTCAGTGGGCCGAAAACGGCACTATATCGAACCAGGCACTGTAAGATAATGAGATTTACGGCTTTTTTGCAGCCACTCCCTTGCGCATTACTGCTCAGAAAGACCGCTCGCAGGACGCCATCACTCATACTTTGCATCTTCACTACAGACTCAAGTCTGCAGGCAGACAATACCCCTCGAAAAGGATCTAAATATCAAGGGGGTACAACGCGCACGAGAGGTGGGCTCGCTTGAAGCGAAGGCTGTAAGGTTTCGAACTTCCGATCTGGCGATAGAGCCTCTCCCCCATTGCCGGCGGAGAATAAACTCGTTCAGTTTGTTACTCGTTGCTCTTTGCTTTCTTTGAAATAGTATCTGCATCTGCTCGCTGCTGGTTAGACTTGCAGTCCAGCAGATGAAACTGGACTATCACACGTGCGGTATCTACAAACAAACCCGACGCCTAGGCGTTGGTTGTGGGCTGTGTGAGGGCAGAGTCATATATTATATATGCAGTGGAGCGTATTTTGCGTATTTTGCGTATTTTGCGTATTTTGCGACAAACACGAGTTCACTGTTTCAATGCATTTTTGAACATGAATCCGTCGCCTTGTACCGCCTACTGCACAGTACTGGACCAAAGGATACTGCGAGTATCACAGCCTCCACGTGGCATGAGATTCCACACAGTGCTTGCTTGCCACGTCACGTTGCACCGAAAACAGACGAATCCCGACTCCGCTGAGCCCGCACCTCGTTCCTGCTTAGATTCCACACGTGTCACCACCCCATACCCCATACTGTACCGGTTCGCCTCTCACCATCGGAAAGTGCTCACCTCAGGACAAGCCTTGTGCTACCAGACGTAGCTCTTCGCGTCCATGCCCCATCCTCACTGTGCCTACGCAGCCTCTCCGTTCCTCCGCTACCGCCATCAACCAGTATTACTTCTTCCGCTTACCTCCTCCACCAGCATTCCTCAACAAAGCCCCGCACCATCACCCGTCGCATTTACACGCCCTTATTGCATCCGATTGCACCGCCGCACTAGTCCTGATCGCCCTCCGGCCTCCCCCATCGCCGTTCCCGCTCTTTTTACAAACCACACGCCATCGCGACTCTCCCTCACTTCCATGTCTCATGCCAGTACTCCGGACGTGGGCGCTTCCGACTCCAAGCCCGGCATACTCACCCTCCCCAGCATCGACTCTACCGCCGAACTCACTCTTGCTCTTGCTAGCCCTACCCCGCTACTCACACTATCCGTCGGGAATCGGACCGTTCTCGCCGGACATATCTCCGGCCTCCCTCCCTTACCAGATACCCGCTTCACGCTCACTTCCGTCTCTCCTCCTTCTGGTATCACCTCTCATTTCATCGTATTCACCGACTCTAATGCCCAACTTCTTCTCGAGCAGGCCGGCCCGTCCAGTTTTCATATCTCCATATCGGGAGGTGCCTCCTCTTCCGTAGTGGAGGCCGCGTTCAACCTTGGTGAAGCGTCGTGGTTTGGCCTCGGTCTCATGATGCATCAGCACTGGCCTTTGCAAGACGGCATTCTTGAGCTCGGTCCATTTTACCCGTTCGACAATGGACCGAATGGCCTATGCACCATCCTCGACCCTACTCTCGTTTCGACAAGCGGAGCTATGATCGTAGTCGATGATACCTCCCGCTGTCTCCACGCCGCCCTCAACGCATCCCCCACTGACGGCAGCAGGACACCCGCCCATTTTTCAAGCCCTATGGAGTGGGGAACCGGTGTCGCCAATTTCGTACGTGACATCCTTCCCAGGGAGCAAACTTCGGATGACAAGGGCGATGACATCGTAAGGTTTCAGAGCAGAGCTGCCTATGACTGGCCTCATGTCGTGCATCCTTGGCTTAGAGTCGATGACACCAGCAATGCTCGACATGAACCTCAGTTGAAGTTTTGCATCGGCGGATCAAAGAATGTACGAACCGCGAGTGAATCTGTGCTCAGCCAAATCAAGCATGAGATGAGTCATCTGCCGAAGAAAATCCCGCCGCTCCAAATGATGAAGTACCCCATCTGGAGTACGTGGGCGAGGTACAAAGATGCCGTTACCCAGAGAGACGTTCTCGATTTTGCTCATGATATTGTCGACAGGGCACTCCCGCGATCAGTCATGGGCATCGACGACCGCTGGAGCGTCAAGTATGGGGATCTCGAATTTGATAAAGAGAAGTTCCCAGACCCAGCAGCCATGGTTCGCGAGCTCCATGACTTGGGATTTATTGTCACTGTATGGGTTGTACCATTTGCAAACACTAATTCAGAGGCCATATCTAACCCCGAAACTAGAAGATACTTTGTTCACAGCGACAGCGGAGAGCTTGGAGAGTTTGCGTGGTGGCAGCCGACAACCGTCGCCGCTTTGGATGTTACCAATCAGGAAGCCTGTGACTGGTTTGTCTCCGGGCTCCAGCGGCTATGCAGCGAGTATGGACTGGACGGCTTTAAGTTTGACGCAGGAGAACCAAGCTTTCTTCCGCGTAAATCCCTCCTAGAACGATCGATGATCAGCCCCACGGAGTATACACGTGCGTGGATGCATCGGATTGCCTCTAAGTTTGAAGTCTCAGAGGTCCGCTCGGGGGTCCGTGGATGTCAGAATGCAGTACCCATGTTCCGCCTGTTGGACAAATTTTCGACGTGGGGGCTGGAGAACGGATTGGCCAGCGTGGTATCGGGGTTACTGACTGCAGGTCTGCTCGGCTATCCATTTTGTATTCCGGATTACATCGCTGGCAACGCGTATGGGGAAGACGTCCCTAATGCCGAGTTGCTAGTCAGATGGGCACAAGCAAGTGCAGCAATGCCTGCGATGCAATTCAGCATCCCACCCTGGTCGATGGGAGAAGAGTGCGAGCGACTGTCACAGAAAGCGCTGGAGTGGCGAGATAGATTTTTTTGGGGGCACATAGAGAAATGCGTGGAGGAAGCGGCAGTGAAATACTTGCCGATCGCACGTCCAATGTTTTGGGAAGACCCGGATGTGGAAGGTGTCGCGGATATTGGTGATCAATTCATGATCGGCAGGAATGTCGTTGTTGCACCAGTCGTTGAACAAGGGCAAAGAGCACGAAATGTCTTTTTGCCAAGCGGTCGATGGAAGAGAGTAGACTTGAACAAGTCTGGGTACTGTGATCCTACTATCCATACCGGACCGATCTGGTTACAGCGTGTATCTGCGGAGCTCGATGAAATGCCAACCTTCTTGAGAGAATGAAAAGCATAACATGTAGCAAGACGGCAGTGCAATACGTGCGTCCCGCATCAACACGCAATAATTGTCGAAGACTAGCCGACAAAGTGCTAGACTGTGGGCCAAGCTCTTTACTAACATGTGGCATTTGCAATGGAGAGATTACGATGCACAGTTCTGAGACAAAATCTCGTTAGAGCATCCCCACCGGTACGCAATCAAATCATCAAATAACAACACTTGGCACACTTTTTCTGTAATTTGATTGGCTCCCTAGAATTTGGTTGTTTCGTTATTTGGCTGTTTGATGCTTCGGAAAGAACTGCCCCACCGGTGAGAACCAAATGAAGTACATTCCCCTCGTACTCACCATCGCATCCTTGTACTCACACTCGTACTCACCCTCGTGTCGCACCCTCAGTCGTAGTCGCACGCTCACTCGAAACCCATCCCGCGACCTTCTCCCTCGCCACTCTGTCTGCACTCCTTCCCTCTCACCTCCACCGTGGACAAAGACAGACTGCCGGCGCTGTCCTCCCTGCTCACGGACAGCACGCGCTCCCCACGCGACCGCGAGCAGCGCGATCCCGGAGAGGACATACGCGCCGGCGGCAGCGGTGCTGCGGCGGATGATTGGCTCGACAGCCGCGAGCGACGTTCTCCTGCGGCTGCTGCTGCTGCTGAGCAGCGAATCGCACTGCGCTAGCACTGTCTGCGCTTGTGAACCTGTCGGAGGACGAGGAGGCGGCGGCCCTGACGTACGCGGACGCGGTGCGGCTCGCAGCGCAGGTGGTCCTGGACGCGGACGTCGTCGCGCTGCACGCGGCGCTGCTGTCCAACCTGACGCGCTTCGCGCCGGGCGTGGACGAAGCGGAGGGTGCGGACGGGTTTCGGGAGAGGGGCACGCTACTCGTGCTCGTGGAGAGGGTACCGAGTATTCCGAATGTGCTGCGGCTGTCGAATGCGTGCGCGAGCCAGGAGGGGAGGGACGTCCTGTTGGTCGAGGGAAGGCAGGCGGAGAGACAGCTGTTGACGAGGTTGCTAAGATTGCTGGAGGCGGGGGAGGCAGAGAAGAGGCTGGCGGGGGCGAGCTGGGCGCGGAACTGCGCGATGGCGGACGAGTGCCATGATGTGTTGGTGGGGGTACAGCGGCGGTCGCAATGTGCTTGGGGAGGTCAAAGGAGGTGGGACGGGAGGAGATGGCGGAGATTCGCGCCTGGTTGGTCGACGAAGTGTTGTTGTTGTGTAAGAGTCGGGCGGGGAAGGACGCGCTCAGGGATGGCGGGGCCGTCGACGTTCTGGAGGGATGGAAGGGGGAAGAGCATGCACGCCGTAGTGAGCATTCTGGATCGGCGGGAGACACTGGTAATCTCGAGACAAATACCGCATCGATGCACTTTTTGGTGGGAAGCCGTTTCGGTCGACCAATAGAACGTGCACAACTGGATTGTCAAGAGTAATCAAACAGAGACTACCCGAACCAAATTCCTGATATTTGATTTCGATTTTTAGATCGACACCAAAAATTTGATGATTTGGTTGCACCGGTGGGGGTTTCAATCGACATCAAATCATCAAATTTTAGTTGTTTGGGTATTTGATTCTACCGGTGGGGATGCTCTTACAAATCTACGGGAAAATTACTGCGCATTTGGCGGAGTATTGTTCATAATATTTAAGTACGAACCTGTAATTGTGATATAAGTCTGAGAACTATGTAGTGGGGAGCCTCCGTTACTATACGAGTACGAGGGCGACGGTGCTACAGTAGGTACCGCTCAATAGTTCGCCCCCGTGCCAGGATCCAGAAATACGAACTATTGACAGAACGAACTGTTAAGATCGCATTGCTGCCACATGTACTTTATTGCTCAAAATGCTCGGAAATGAGCGTCTGACGTGTTCTCTTCCTCGTCTGCTCTCGGTAGGCCTCGAAAAATGCTCGCTTTGCTCGTCGAAGCCCTTCGCAGGCCGTATCGACACCTACCCTTTCCGCTAAAGACTCCACCCCCTCAAACAACTGCACAAGATCAGTAAGCGGTAGTAGTTTCTCTGCAACAATTGGCATTTCATCCGCAGAGTCTTCCTGGATTTCAACGTTCCCCTGCGTGATTGGGCTCCCCCTTAAACACTCCTCGACCACATCAAACGAATCATTGACCCATTGACCAATGTCTCTCGTACACGCTCCTCGTCTTCAATCGTAACCCATCTACGCAGATCACCTGCATCAATAAAATCCGCACCGGATGCCACATCTTCTCCACTGTAAAGTCTTATATTTGAAAACATTGTCGCGATAGCCGAGATATCTTCTTCTTCAATAAACGCTTTTTCCCTCTTCACTTTTCCGTGAATACCGATCAGCTTGCTATTGGCAACTCGTGGCAGAATGTCTGCCTTGATCCAACAGCGGGCGATCGTTCTCTCAGAAAGTTCTTCCCAGGCTTCCAAAATTAAATCACAGACATCTAACATGTGCGAGTCATGACCCTCATCCAGCCCTTTCTTTCCTGCTTTCATGTTTTGGCTCCTTCGCGAAGAGCATCCCGGTGTTCAACTGTGGCAGATATGTGCTCCAGTAATCGTGACTTTTATTTAAGTTTCAAGGCTGCAATTACCTCCATGTCCATTGGTTGGAAAACAGAGGTACAGTTCGGTGGAAGTGTAAATTTTAAACTTGCCCTCGCGCGTCAAGGAGGTCTGGTCCATGCGGTCCGCAGTTGTCCATCACGAGCGCCACGTTATGCGACGTTTTTCCGCGAATAAAGGGCAAAAAGACACAATAAAACCATTTACGAAACGTGACGGAGTCCGACCACGCGTTCTTCTGGCTGAAGTACTGAACGGCAGGGCGACCTTTCCTGAAACATCGGGGATTTCGGGCTGTACCAATAATGCTTATCGGCACTTTCAATGTACCCGTGGCATTTGTACAAACATAGAGGGACACACGTGCTTTGGCCTTCATATGCTTGGTCCCTCTGAGTTTATCGCTGTCCTCATATGATAGAACGTAGGTTTTCTTCGGGAAAAGCTTAAAAACAAGCCAGTCCCATCCATGTTGAAGATGAATTCTTCGTCAAAATCTGCTAGATGTTCTCGAAGACGACATATCCCAGCCGAAACATACCTAACTGAAACGCTTCCGCCCTCGCCTTGTAGTCTCACAGAACTCAGTGCATGCCTCCGTGTGAAAGATGTCACCTACGCTGGAGAGGGGGAGAAAGATTCTAGGCGATTTATTTCTGCATGCGAATGGTCCATTTTCCGAAGGCTTTCTCGAATTTGCATGGCGCGACAGCGAAGGACGGAGCCTGAGAGGTGTAGCTTTTCTCCACGAGCAATTTGCACAAATTCGTACAGTGCCTCATCGATGTCGGGAAATTTGGGCGCTTCAAGTGCCTTGAACTGTGCGTTGGGAGTTCCCTCTTGCACAACAGCGAGAAGTTTGGCAGAATTCTTTCGGATCTTTTGAATTGTTCGTGGATTACAGGCGAATCGAGAGGCTGTATCTCTCACGGTGGATCCAGCAGATAACTGGTGGATAATATCTGCATTTTCTGAAAGTGTCAATCTTTTGCGTATGCTTTTGATCGTGGGTGCGGATTTTGACGCCATTGCGCTCCTTGTTGGCGCTTGCGGGGGGTCGAAGATGTAGAGGGGATAATGGTCACGCTCTCGGTCGCAGTGGGAGAAGGACTGCCAACAGGTTTCGGAAGGACAGCGACGGCCGCACCGGTCTATGTCTATACACTTGTACACGTCTGAGAAGGCGTGACATTGTCGGAAGAGCGAACTATTGACCAAGCGAACTGTTCAAGTGCGAACTATTGAGGATCCCCCCTGTATGACCGTACACACACGGAACCGGAGGTTTTGAAGAAACACAATCGTTTTTGATGTATACTACAGGGGGCTCATTAATGCACATTTGGACCATGCATATGCCCAGTATTGCGCCCCTACCCCCTGGACTGTATTCGATCCTGAATAGAGGCGAAAATTTGGCCAGAGCTCATTGTTGCCTTTCCGCCCAATCACATCTGACGTCAGATTTGGATTTCTCATGTCAAACGGGACATATTTTCTGACGTTCCCGCCCAAAAAAATGACAACGTTCGACCCCTCAATTCTTCAAAACTCTCCCACGTAGAAGAAAAATACGGAACATGTGCCCCCTTCCAACTACTGCACCGTATCCCCGAGATGGATGCCTCCCTCTCCGAGACAGACTCCGAGAGTGAGAGTGCGTTTGGCCTCCATGATGAAACAATTCTCATCTTCCCACCCGGCACCGAGCAGGAAGATGAAAACGTCAAACATTCCGAAAATGAGGACGGTATTCCAATTGCTCATTTGGTGCGTCAAGCTATCTCACTGCCATCCTCCCTTCCCCCTCAGTAATCCATAGAGACCCCTGCCCCATCGTTCCCTACATATCTCCCCTCATTTCATCCTATGCATCTCGACCCCGAAAGGTGTACACCACGAGGGCGTCCAAACTACTTTTACTTCCGCAAAAGCGATGAGCACACTCCTCTAAAAAAATTTAAGAAATTCGTGCCAACTTCAATCATTCAAACCATTGCTGAAAATACGAATGAATATGCGAAAGAGAAGGAGGCCGGGAAGGGACGGAGATGGAAAAATGCTACATGGCAGGATATCCAATTTTTCTTTGGCTTGGCGTTGTACATGGGGGTATACAAGTGCCCATGTATCGAAGGCTATTGGGACCGCACAGGGAAGGGGCCGTCACATAGCGTAATGGGTGCGATGAGTATGTTTCGCTTTCAACAACTGAAGAGATACATCCACCTTTGCCACCCCGAAGCAGACAATGGGCGAGATTACTTTTTCTCAAACTTAGAACCATTCTTGTCTCATGTTCCTGATGCGTCTTCCCAGTTTTCGTTTCCGGGGTACCAGGTGAGTGTGGATGAAATGATGATAATGAACTACGGCCGCTGCTCTGAGACAGTACGAATCAGGAACAAGCCAATTGGGTCCGGATTCAAAGTGTGGGCTCTGTGTGACAGTGGGTACATGTTCAACGCTTTCCCACACTCGAACAAAGACCGCTGGATACATTGCAAGGAAAACAAAGGAACTCTTGTGCACTCCTCTGCCGTCGTGGCCAAGCTGTCAGAAAGGCTACCGCGTAACGTCCCGTTTTCGCGAAACAACGAGGCCCAAATGTCTGTCATCTACATCGATAATCTTTTTTCCACCCCGCAACTTTTCGCCCTCCTA